TGTGGCATTTAACGCTGTCACTCTGCTCACTGTTAAATGTGGCTCAGTGAGGGTCAGGCCCTCGCGAGTCAGCTTAGCTACTCCTCCCACCTTTGGGGAGGAGCAAATAAGCAGTTAGAGGGACAAGATGGAAGCATTATATTCCTTCTCTACCAACCAAAGAGCAAATGTGGGGAGAGCAGTAAAATTATTCCTTCTCTCAGCCACCAGGAAGAATTTCCCGACCAGGAGGAAGAGAGGAAACAGAAACATAGCCAGAAAAGGAAACTTTAGAAAGAATTTTCCTCAGAATGGTTAAAGACTAGGAGAGAACCATACCACTTTGCACTTAAGGAGAGAGACATCCCAAGCAGGACAGAAGTCTTAATTTTCCATCTTGAAATGCTTCTATCCTGGGGACTGAATTCATGGTGAGATATCTCTGATTGATCCCATGCTCCAGTCTTCTTGGTTGGTCCTGAGGGGTGGGCAGAAAATAATGCCTCTGCCTATGGAAGCTGAATTCTCTCTGACCTACTGGAAGGTGAATGATGGTCTATGGCATCTGGGACATAGAGCCCAAGAGCAGGGTCGTCCTCCCCATTAGGGAAAAGATAGCATGTTCTCTAGACTTCCCAAGACTGACATGAGATAAATATACAAGCCGTGAATCATTCACTTGGGGACAGAATTGGAAGAGCCGATGAAAGCTCAGGGGAACCATGAAGGGGAAAAAGTACAAGAAGAGATTTCCAGAGATAGAGAGAGCAATTCCTCAGTGAGCCAGCTTGGAGACAACAATGGAAGGGAGGCACGTCTTCAGCCTGTCTTCCACAGATGTTTGCTAACTCACTGTGGTCCCGGAGCCAGCTGTGGCTGACTGAAGAACATTTTCCATCACAGATCGTTTGCGGTGAAAAAGAATAAAGTTGAAAATGGATGGCACCAGATTGTGTCCATGATTTATCATTTCAGTCTTGTCACCGAGAATCAAAGAGCCCCATTCAGGGAGGCTAGAGCAGAGGAAGAGGCAAAGAAATAGATTTGATATGCATCAGCTATTTGAGGTCAATCTGGAAAGTTCTTTAGAGTATTAAAAAAATATTTGAAAGAAAGAAAGAATAATAATCTAGTGATCACTCATAGCAAACATTCAAGGACAAAGAATTTAATTTACTAAGGATGTAGAGCACCACATTCTCAGGATGGAACGGCATCTCAACAACTTAATAGGGATAGAATTCCAGGATGGGAAGCCTTCTCCAGGGGTCATCGCACCCGTTACCTTGACTCTGAGGAGAGCAGAAGTTAGGCCAAGCAGGGAGGTCCTCTGCCCTCATGGTTCTTACTTGTTCCTGTACTTTAGCACGTGGAAGCAGCAGGCTTCAATGATAGAACTTAGGACAAATTTTCTTTCACCTCTTGCCTCTTCTCAGATGCTGTCCTCCTCTTTGCTCTTCCGGGGCCTTTGCACTTGCCGTCCTGAGGCCTAGAATACCCTTGTTTCAGGTCTTTACCCAGCTTCTTTCTCACCCTTCTGGTCTCGGTGGAATGTCATCTCCTCCAAGAGGTCTTCTCTTTGACCTCATCTAAAGCAAAGACGAGCCAGTATTTTTTTCTATCCCATTGCTCTGTTTGTTTACATTGTAATAATTATCAAATGACCACATTTTGATAATTTTCAGATTATCAAAGAGGAACTCAAAATTAGAAAGTATTTTGAACTGGATGAAAACCAAAATTTGTGGTATGTCACAAAAGTAGCATATAGCACCAAATGCCTATATTAGAAAACTAAAATAAAATCTCGAGTCAGTTACTTCAGTCTTTACCTTAAGAAAATGGCAAAAGAAGAGCAAATTAAACCCAAAGGAAATAAAAGAAAGGAAATTATAAAGATCAAAGCAGAAATCAATGAAATAGAAAAAAGTAAAATAACGGAAAAATAATAAACTAATGAAATAATAGGTAGTTCTTTAAAAACATCGATAAAATTAATCAGCGTCTAAGCAGACTGATCAGGAAAGGTCAAAGAGAGAGAGAGGACACGAATCACCAATATCAGGAAGGAGAGATGGCATCACTACGGAGTCTACAAGTAGGAAAAAGATAATGGGGCAATATTATGTACAACTTGATGTGATAATTTGACAACCTAAATGACATGGATAAATTTCTTGAAAGACACACTCTACCAAGGCTCACTCAGGAAGAAATAGACCACATTGACATGAATAGCTCGATATCTAATACAGAAAGTGAATTTGTAGTTAAAAATCTTCCCCCCAGGACCAGCCCTGGTGGCTTAGTGGTTAAGTTTGGTGCGCTCCACTTCAGAGGCCCTGTTTCAGCTCCCACGCACGGACCTACACCACTCGTCTGTCAGTGGCCATGCTGTTGCAGTGGCTCACATACAAAAAGAGGAAGATTAGCAAGAGATGTTACCTTAGGGCAAATCTTCCTCAGCAAAAAAGAGGAAGATTGGCAGCAGATGTTAACTCAGGGTGAATCTTCCTCAGGGGAAAAAAAAAATCTCCCCCCAAAATCTCCAAGTTTAAATGCCTTCATTGGAGAATTACATTTTAGGAAGAAATAATAACAATTCTATGTAAATAATCCCAGAAACTTAGAAAAGAGAGAATATTTTCCGACTCTTTCTATGAGGCCAGTGTTACTCTGATAAAAAAAATCATACAAAGACATTATAGGAAAGAAAACTACAGACTAACAGCCATCGTGAACATGGATGCAAAACTTCCAGACAGCACTTTAGTAAATCAAGTCCAACAATACGTATAAAGAACATGACACATGCCCAAGTAGGGGGTATCCCCGGAATTCAATGTTATATGAACATCTGACAATAAATCAACGTGATTCACAATGTTAGCAAACTAAAAAGAATGATCATCCTAATAGATACAATAAAGCATTTGACAAAATCCAATATCCGTTCCTGACCAAAAACACACAAACTTTCAGCAAACTGGGAATACAAGGGAACTACCTCAATCATACTGAATGGGGAAAGAATAAACTTCTCCCCTAAGATCAGGTGTAAGAAAATGATGTCTGCTCTCGCCATTTCTATTCAGCATCGTGCTGCGGGTTCTAGGCAGGACAATCAGGCAAGAACCAAAAATAAAAACCATCCACACTGGAAAAGAAGTAACACTTCCTTTGTTTACAGACTACATGATAGTCTAGGCAGAAAATCAGAAGGAATCTACCAAAAAATCAATTAGATTTCTATATCTTAGCAATGAACAGTTGGAGATGGATATTAATATCAATATTATTTATAATAACAACAAAAACATGAAATTCTTATGGGTAATTCTGACAAAAGATATGAAAGACCTATGCCCTGCAAACTTCGAAACATTACTGAGAGAAATTGAACAAGACCTAAAGAAATGGCGACCTATGTCATGTTCATGGATCAGAACACTCATATTGTTAAGAGGTCAATTCCCCCAGATCGATCTATAGACTCAGTGCAATCCTCATCCAGATTTCAGCAGACGTTTTTTTAAAAATTGACAAGCTGATTCTAAAAATCATATGAAAATTCAAAAAACCTAGAACAATCAAAGCAAGCTTAAAAAAGAAAAACAGACATGGATATTGAACACTGCTTGACTTTAAGACTTACTCTAAAAGCAACAGTAATCAAGATAGTGTGATATTGGCATCAGTATCAACAAACAAATCAATGGAACAGAAGGAAGAGTCTAGAAATAGAGCCACGCTAGTATAGACAACTGGTATTTTTAGCAAGGTGCAAGCATAATTTAGCATAGAAAGAGTAGGTTTCAAAACAATGGTGCTGTAACATTTGGGTATCCATATGCCAAAGGAGGATTTTCAATCCACATCTCACACCATTTACAAAAATTAAGTCAAAATGGATCACAGAATCTAGAATGTATTCTATAAAACTTCTAAAAGACAACGTAGGAGAAAACCTTTGAGAACTTGGATTAACCAAAGATTTCTTTGGTAGTACACCTAAAGCATAATCCCTAAAAGGAAAATTTCATACATCGAACTTCATCAAAATTTCAAACTCTGCTCTTCAAACATCACTGTTAAGAGGATGAAAAGATAAAACATAGCCTGGGAGGAAACATTTGCAAAGAACATATCTTAAAAGGAAATTGTATCCAGAATTTATAAAGAACTCTCAAAATTCAATTAATAAGAAAGCAAAAAATCCACTAAAAGTGGGCAAAAGATTTAAACAGACACTCACTAAAGAAAGCATGGTTGGCAACTAAGCACAGGAAAAGATGCTTAACATCGTCAGTTTTAGGAAAATGCAAATTAAACTACAATGAGATACCACTGTGTATTTATTGGAATTCCTAACATTTAATACACTGACTCATGCCAAGTTGTTGGCAAGGACAGGGAGCAACTGTAAGTCTCATTCACTGCTGGGGGGAATGCAAACTAGCATGGCCACTATGGAGAACAGTTTAACAGTGTCTTAAAAAGTTAAACATACACCTACCATAAGACCCAGTAAAACCACTCCTAGGTGAAATAACAACTATCTTCACACAAAAAAAAACCTGTACATGGATGTTTATAGCAGCTTGACTTACAATTGCCCCGAACTGGAAGTGACCCAGACGTCCTTCAACAGGTGAATGGTTAAACAAGGTGAGGCATATCTTGTACATATAATGGTACTAAAAAAAGGAATTGACTATTGATACAAGCCACAATAGAAATGAATCTCAAAATAATTGTGCTGAGTGAAAGCACCCAGAGCCCCCTAAAAAAGATGCAACAACCAGGCAGAATATCCAATGATCTTCCCCCAGCAGCCAAGGAGATTCAGAAATGATTCTTTTTTTCAGTTATACCCCTGGTATAAAACACTTGGAAGATGTCAGAATTCATGCCACTGGATTATGCCTTCAGAAACTAGCTTCTTCTCTGGCGTGCATTGTGGGATCACATCCTTTTATTTGCCATCTCTTGGGTAATTTGACATTTCTTTGAACACTTACCAGCTCCCTACCGCCGCTACACCATAAGGCGATCTCCAGAGCCGGGACTCAGAGCTGGGGAGCTGCAGGACCATGCACTGGGGAGCTCAGGCGTTCCACGGTACAACCCTTGAGTTGCAACTTTGATGCTTCTAGCTGGAAACAGGAAAAATTTAGTCATCTGAAGATGACCCACAAAATAGATTAAAGTCCTGCCTGTACTTTGAATACTCCTGCCAGAAACCTCTAAAGTCAAATTCTCCGGAAACATAGGTTGGCCATATGTCCTGACTCATTCAAAGTCTCCCTTACTTTTTCCAGGGAGTCTGAGCAGAGAGAGCTGCTCAGGTCCAGTGTGGACAAATGGAGGCAGGTACATGGCAGGCGACGCACGTGTTCACCTCCTTCACATAGGGGTCTCTACTTCATGCTTCTGCCTTACCCCTCCATTTTGACCTGTGGGTTGTTTTGGTCATAGCCTCTAAAACCAGGTTTGAATTCTAATTATATTTTTCAGTCTCCAACTTAACTCAACGATTTTATGACTGGTTTTCTGGTTAAAACCCCCAACTAAATTCATCCCAGGGGAGTCTCCCCTATGGTCTACCTTTACGGTCAACAAATCCCATCCCCTCTGTCCCATCCTTATGAAAGGGATCCAGCCACCTAGCAGCAGCCCTGAGTCTTGCATGCTGCTACCCACCCTCCATCTCTGCTTTTCCTGAGCTGCAGCAGCTGCACACCCATTGGGCTTGTGAGAATTCTCAGAACCAGCTTACTCACAGGAATTCTTTCTAGCTCTTCCAGCCCAAGCAGCTGCATGGAAAGTTACACATTCCTAAAAGGGTCATCACTGGCCCTTTCATCTGTCTCCCAGATGCTCTCCCAGTAGTCTCCAATCCCTCAACACTTCCCTCCAATTCGACTCACTGGCATCATTGCCTGCCCTAACCTGTGAGTGAGAAAGTGAGAGTAGGAATTTCTGGCCCAGGAGTCACAGCCCGAGTGAGTGGGAGAAGGACTTGAATACAGCCTGCTAGCACCTCGGAGACAGTTAACTAACCCCCAAGGAACCAGAAATACTAGATATCCTATGACATCTCAATAATGCCAACTCGGCAGTTAGTATTAGTGCCATATTCTTATTTAAGAAGGAAATGAAATGAGTAGAGATGGGCAAAGAAAAAAAAAAGAACAGAGAAAATGGTGGGAGAATGCAGGATGCTAGCACTTCTTTTTCTACCTTCCTGGACTGTTCAGTTGAAAACCAAGTGTTCTGAGAAAGTTGAGTCATGCCTCTCCAGCTTTGCCCATCACTGGCCTCCTTCTGGTACCACTGCCAAATATTTGAAAATTTCAAATATTCCAAAAATTTCTGAGAGATTATTTTTTGTGGAAGTATGGTCAAAAGTTTCAGGGAAATAGACAAGTTTCTAAGAAATCAGACTCCAAGAAAAGGGTTCACTGTGAGCGGAAAGGAGTATTTCAAACAAATCCAGTACTAAGACCTCAGCTCTATTCAAGAGGGACTAACAGTATTGAAGAATTAGCGAGAAAGGTACCAAGGGGTATCAAAGTGTTTATTTTAAAGATGAAACAAAGAGATTAAGTTTCTGAAGTGTTGATAGAAGCCTGGCTTGTTTTGATAGAACTTTTCTCCTTCTCTTTTTGTTCTTTTTCTTCCTATTTTTATTTTCATTTTGATAAGGTGTATGGCATGGTAATGCACTCCACTCCCATTAACCTTCCAGACAGCAGTGGCCAAGCAGTCTTAGCCACGGGTCCAGGATTCCATTCACTTCTTGGAGATGGCATAGGCCAAATGGAGGTTCGCCTCTTAAGGCGAAGGCCAAGGGTCCTGAAAAACAATACAAACTTACAAAGTAACTGACCACCTGTATTCCTTCTTTGTTTCCTCCTTGTCCATCTACGCTTCCACGTGCATCTCTCTTCCCTTGAGGACCAGAACCTTTGCACTAGCGTGCAATGAGCACATCTATAAAGACAGACTTCGTCACTTTTCTTCCAGTTATTTCACCTCCAGGAACATAATTTCTTCCCATTGTGTGACATTTCACTCTAGGATGTCCTTTAGGTCTGACATTCTTAAATATCAAAGATCCTATGTTCTAGATCTTTCTATCTCTACTTGATATCAAAACTAAGAGTTGCCATAAATAAAACTGAGTAAGATTCTGCAGGTAAGGTTCACTTTATCTGCTCATCAGTGGCTTTCTAACTTTGTGAGACCAAGCCCTCCAAGAAGCCACTACAGGAGAAGGGATACAGAAAGGGAATTAGAAAAAGCAAGTGGACATGTAGGAACATTCAGGGGTCCCTGGGACACTCAGACACAGAATGCTAGAATTTGGAAGGAACTTAGAAATTATAGTACAATTCTGGCCAGTTTCACTGGTTGCAGAGTTAGCCGGGTGAGGGTGGACCCCACTTGCACTCTCTGAGCTTCATTCAGAGACAGAGCCAGGTCTGGGATCCAGGTTTTCTCAAGCATTTCCAGTAACATTACCTGGATGTTTGCTCACTCTTTGGTGCAAATGGAGAAACACAAGCTTTGTTTCCACCTGGGATGAGCATGGTACCCTCTATTGAAAGTATTCTCAGCCTTCACAGCTGCTCTGGGAATGGTCAGGTCAGTTCCAAAGGCCCACCTGGGAGACAGTCCTCAAAGCAATCATACAGAGTCCCCTCTCAGCTCTGAAACCAAGGAGCAGCAAACCTCATGGGAGAGATCACCTCTGGCCGTTGGCTCCCCTTTTCTAGAAAACTATTTTCTCTCTCCAGGCTCTCAGCCCCAACCTCCAGCCTCATCTCTGGAAAAGCGGATCTTTCTTAAAGAGCCAGCACTTGACCTTGCTAAGGGCTAGAGAGTTGTTCATTCATCATGGAAAATGTCTGATGCAAAACGAATGCATTTATCTTAATTCTACACTTTTGTTTAGATGATTCTTTCCTGAGGACTTCTTCTCTTAACTGAAAAGGGAGAAAGAGGAAGAAAAGAAAGTCCTTGAGGAACACATTTTATAGCTGTCTTTACTCCGGTCATGTTGATGCACTAAACCCCCTTACTAGGCTTGCGAGGAGAGCAATGTAGGTTTCTGTTACCTCGAGCATCCAGGGTGGTGTGGTCAGACCTTTCCTGGGAGTGTTCCCCTTCCCTGACGGCCACGTGTTCCAGCCCGTTACACCTGGTTGTGGGTTGTCTAGGTTAAGCACTGCTTCTCAGGGCTTTAGCTGAACTCTGGGAAAGGCAGATGGCAGAACTCTTGAGGAAAAGACAAGATAAAATGCGAGTTAGCTTAAACAACAGAAATCTAAGTTATACAATGGACGAAAATTTGCCAGGGAGAATTTTGAGGGCTAGAATAGATTTTTAAATCTCCACGAATAGCTTAAGATTTAGGTCAAGCCAGGAGGGCAGAATAAAACAAAAACAAAGAAAATTGAAAGACAGAGATACTGGCCTGAGTCATTTTCCCATCCATGACTACCCTGAGATGCAGGCTGAGGAGAGCTGCTCGGTCATTTGTGCAAGGCAAACTTTCTGAAGGGATGTTTTTCTCTGGTTCACTGTGTCATCTGTCCTTTCAGCCTTTGTCTTTCTTCATCCCAAGCACCATAATACAGTCATGTCCTAAACCTGTTTCATGGATTAGTCACTTTCCAGCACCCTGCTTTCGTCTTCAAGCTCAAACATCTGACCTTCGCATTCTGAGACCTTCTGTCAACCTCATTTATCATATCTCAGCTTCTCTCTCTTGACCTGTCTGTTCACAACTCAGACTTGCCCCTCCACCATCTTAGCCCTCAACCACCCAGAATCAGTTCCAGCCAGACATGATGAGATAGACCAAGCCTGCCTGTTGAGTTCTCAAATTGCCCCAGCCCCATCTCTTGTTTTTGGGGTCTAATGACCATCCTATCCGCTATATTCATGTATGAATCCCTAGCATCTTCATGGACAAAATTACCTGTCTCAGGCTCCAGAGGCCAGCCCTCTGGAATTCCCATGTGTTTCTCCCTGAAGAATCTGCCAATAAGTAAGGATTTGAAAACAAGAATTTAGACCAAGCCATTAGTGTCTGAAAACTGACCTCATAGGTGAGCTGAATGAGTGCTAGCAGTAACAATGCAATTTTCAACTCAATAATCTCACTCCATTCTCAGGGTCACCCTGTGAGGTAGCATAGGGACGCATCACAGATAGCTGAGGTCCCAGTCATCTAGGGGATGCTAAAAGCTTTTCAATCCACTTATGGTAAAAAAAAAAAAAAATCTCCTTAGCATGGCCTACAAGGACTTACATGATCTCGCCTATGTCTTTGTCTTTGCCCTCTTTTCCTGCCCTTTTCTGACCCTTCACTGATTTTCATACTTTCTGCTAAAGTACAGTTTTCAAAAGTTTAAAACATCATTTTCACAAAAATGTAAAATCAATATGTCAACTATTTTATTCAATTCATTAATTAACATGAGAACCAGTAAGCTGTTAAGATTGGCTCAAAAGAGAATCTGAAGAACAGATATATATACACATGGGCTGTCAGAAATGTTGAAGCGAATTTGCTAATAGGTGCAAAACTGGTTAATATCATATAGGACAATAAAATGTAATGTTTGGATCAATAAAATTGACACACATGTAGTTAGGCTGACCAAGAAAAAAAAGAGAGGACTCTAATTACTAAAATCGGGAATGAAAAAGAGACATCATTACCAATCTTACATAAATAAAACAATTTATAAGGGAATACTATGAATAACTGTGTACCAACAAATTAGATAACTTACCTGGAATGGATAAATTCCTAGAAAGATGTAAATTACAGAAACATATTCAAGAGATATAGGAAATAGGAATAGATCTAGAACGACTAAAACATTGAATTAGTAATTTTAAAACTTACCAAACATTCAAAGATGAATTAATAGGAAGCCTTCAAAACTCTTCCAAAAAATGCAAAAGTAGGAAATAACTTCTCAACTCATTATATGAGACCAGTATTACTGGGTCCTTACACACAAAGACATCACAAGAAAATAAAATAATATTGGAACAGACCAATATCTGTATGGATATAGATACAAAAATACTCAACAAAGCACTAGGAAACTGACTCTAGCAACATATAAAAGGGATTATACACCAACACCAACTGAGACTTATCCCAGAAATGCAAGGTTAGTTTAACATCTGAAAGTCACTTGATATAATACACCCTATTAATAGAATAAAGGACAAAGCCATATGGCCGTTAACAGGCATAGAAAAAGTAATTGACAAAAATCCAACACTCTTCATGATACAAGCACTCAGCAAACCAGGAAGAAAGGAACTTCCTCAACATGACAAAGACCATCCCATGGAAAACCCACAGCTATCATACTTAATAGTGAAAGACTACATGCTTTCACCATAAGATCAGAAACAAGATATGAATGCCCACTCTTGCCTCTTCTTCAACATGTAATAGAGGGTCTAGACAGGGCAATTAGGCAAGAGAAAGAAAATAAAAGCCATCCACATTGGAAAGGGGAAAAAATCTATCTCTATTTGCATATGGTATGATTTTGTATATAGAAACTTCTAAGGAATCCACGAAAAAACTTAAAAATGGTACATGAGTTCAACAAGGTTGCAGGATACAAGATCAATATTTTAAAAATCACTTGTGTTTCTACACACTAGCAGTGAAAATTTTGAAAATGAAATTAATAACAATTCTATTTGCAGTAGTATCAAAAAGAATAAAATACTTAGCAATGCATTTAATAAAAGAAGTACAAGACATACACTGCCCATTACAAAATATTACTGAAAAAATTTAAGGAACATCCAAATAAATGGAAATATATTCCATGTTCGTGGATCAGACAACTTAACATTGCAAAGATGACTTTATCCCCAATTTAATCTACAGATACAAAACTATTCCTTTCATGATATCAGCTGCCTTTTTTTCAGAAACTTATAAGCTAATCTTCAAATTCATATAGAAATTCAAGGGAGCCAGAAGAGCTAAAAGATTCTCAAACAAGAAGAACAAAGTTGGAGAACTCACTTTCCAATTTCAAAAATTACTACAAAGCTACAGTAACCAAGAAACTGTGGTACTGGCACAAGGATAGACATATAGATAAATGAAATAGAATTGACAGTCCATAAATAAACCCATATTTATGATCAATTGATGTTCAAGGGAGTACAAAGATAATTCAATGGGGAAAGAATAGTCTTTTTAACAAATGGTGCAGGGACAACTGGATAAGAATTAATGTGGACCTTTACCACACAACATACACAAAATTAACTCAAAATGGATAATAGACCTGAATGTAAGAGCTAAAACACTACAACTCCTAGAAGAAAATATAGCAGTAAATCTCCATCCTCTTGGGTCAGGCAATGGTTTCTTTAAAGCAATGCAAAAAGCATAAGCAAGAAAAGAAAAAATAGATAAACTGGACTCAAAATTTAAAACTTTTATTCTGCAAATAATGCCATCAAGAAAGTGAAAAGATAACACTCATAAGGGGAAAAATATTTGCAAGTTATATATTTGATAAGAAACTTCTTTCTAGAATATATAAAAATTCTTAAAACTCAATAGTAAAAGACAAATTTTAAAATGGGTAAAAGATTTAAATAGGCATTGCTCCAAGAAAAATATTAAAATGGCCAATAAGTCCATAAAGCGATGTTCAACATCATTAGTTATTAGGAAAATGCAAATTAAAACCACAATGAGTTATTACCTCACACCCACTAAAATGGCTGTAATCAAAATGATGGATGATAATAAGTGTTGGCAAGGATGTGGAGAAATTGGAATCCTCATATATTGCTGCAGGGAATGTAAAATGGTGCAGCCACTTTGGAAAACAGTTTGACAGTTCCTCAAAACATTAAGCATGGATCTGCCATATAACCCAGCAATTCCACTCCTAGATATATATCCAAAAGAAATAAAAACATATATTCACACAAAAACTTGTACATGAATGTTCATACAAACATTACTCATGCTATCCAAAAAGTAGAAATAACTCAAATGTCCATCAACTGAGGAATAGAAAAACAAAGTGTGATATATCATACAACTGAATATTATTTGGAAATAAGGAATGAAGTACTAACATGTGCCACAACATGGATGAACCTTGAAAACATTATGCTAAGTGAAAGAAGCCAGTCCCAAAAAAAACCACATATCGTATGATTACATTTTTATGACATTCCCAGAATAAGCAAATCTGTAAAGACAAGTAGATTAGTGGCTGCCCCGGGCTGGTTGGAGAGTGGGTGTTGGAAGGAAGTAAGGAGCAGCTGCATGGGCCTGGTGTTTCTCTACAAGGTAGACAGAAAAATCAGATTGTGGTGATGTTTGTATCACCCTGAGAATATACCAAAAAGAAAAAAGAAAAATTGAATTTTCAACTTTAAATGGGTGAATGGTATAAGAATTTTATCTCAATAAATCTGCTTAAAATGTATTGTTTGTAGCCATCTTTTCTACAGGATAGAATTCAGTTGTATTTCTACTGGATGAAATTCATTATACTACTTTGGAAAAGAATCATTCGCATTACTATCAGTTTTCTACAAATTGAATTCTGAATTCTGCCTCTGCAGAGCAGTAAGATAACTTAGGCAACAGAAATTCAGTCAAAGGGGAATATCTTGATATAATCAAGTAATCCCCCCAAAATATCCTAGGCAATGCCCAGTTGTCCACTGAAAGGATTCTCAGTAATATCTTGCCCATTTCCAAATTTTGGACAATTTTTCCTGACATGCCTTTGAAAATATCAAGCTTGTTTCTCCCACGAGGATTTGCCAGTTCTATTCTGTCTGCTTCAAGCACTCCTGATACATATGTTAACCTGGCTCATTTCTTCTTTCCATTCTGGTCTCTCCTCAACTATTACCTTCTCAGAGGGTGTCCCTCAAATACATAATTAGTTATCAATTGCTATTTAACAAGTCATCTCCCAAAGCTCTGTCTTTAAACAACAAATATTTGCTATCTCACAGTTTCTCTGGGTCAGGAATCCAGGATCAGCGTACCTGGGTGGTTCTGGCTCAGGGTTTCTCCTTCAGTTGCAGTCAGGATGTCAGCAGGGGCTGCAGTCATCCGAAGGTTTGACTGGGGCTGGAGGATCCGTTCCCTAGATGGCTCCTCTCCACGGCTTTCGGTAGAAGGCCTCAGTTCCTTGCCGCATGAGCCTCGTAAGCTGCTTGAGCATCCTCACAATATGACAGCCAACTTCCCCCAGAGCAAACAATCCAAGAAAAACAGGAAGAAGACACAGTGACTATATTATCCAGTCTCCAAAGTCATACACCATCACTTCCACTTCACTCTACTCTTGAGAAGCAAGTCATTAAGTCCAGCCCACACTCAAGGAGAGGGAAATTAGGCTTTACCTTTTACAAGGAGTGTAAAAGAATTTGTGACCCTATTTTAAAACACCATAACACACGCCCACACAAACATGCCCTCTCATCTGGTGCTCTCTATTGCTTTATTCAACTTTTGTTTTCTTCATAGAATTTTATGTTACTATGTTATATATTTCTGTGTCAATTATTGATTTCCCCACTACAATGTAATACCTGTGGAAACAGAAATTTTACGTTTTTCCATACTGAATACTCAGCACCTGGAATAGTACCAGGCATATAGTAGTTCAATGACTATTTTGTTTCCTAAATAAATGAATGCATGGACGAGGTTATGAGTTAGAGGTAGAGAACCAGGCTTGGAAACTAAAAATTATGACTGCTAACTTTAGTGTATTTTCCAATACTATATCTTAGAGGAATTCTAATGGTGGTGTATAACTGGAACAGTGATTTTTGGGGGAAGAAAAAGGAAACCCTCCCAGTCCTCCATGGAGTCACTCCAATTGAGACTTCCTCCAGTCCCCAGACCCACATTCCTGCTGACCGAAATTTAGGACACTCCTTCTCTACTCATACATGCAAACAAAAACCCTCCCATCTTTTAAGAGCTTGGAGGTGGGGGGACAAGAACGTATGTGTTAGCCCCAGAATTCCTCCCCTATTTATAAAAAGAAAGTTGGAGAAGCATCAATACAACCCTGGATCCCAGGGTTGAACATAAGCATTGCGTCTGGGTTCAGGAATGAGAGACCTTGAATGTTACCTTGTAGATTCACTTTTGTTTATTCAGGGTTTAGCAGCATTTCTGAAGCCAAATGTTGATTCTCCTTGGCTCTGGGGAATAAGGAAATTCACATGCAATTAGGAAGCAGATTGTAATGGAAAGTACACAGGATTGGGAGTCCAGACACTTTATATCCACCACTAATTTGCTGAAAGCCTTATTTTCCGTACCTGTAAAATGGCAGGTGCGGTTGGGGAAAGCATAGATAACTTCAAATTCCTCCTCAGGTTCTAATCTTTTATAAAGTTCAGAGATGTCTTAATATCCCTTGAATAGTCTTTGCCAGCTTCTTACCAGAAATTTCAACAAAGATCAGCATGGGATACACTCGCATTTCTCTCTCTCTTCTCTAGCAGCCTCCAGACTCTAGGAAGATGGGAACACACACACACACGCACACACACAACATGTGAAAGAAAAAAGGTCATTTTTTTGTAGATCAGAGAAAGGTGACGGGAGATGTCGAGGACAAAAACTGTATGAGAGAGGCAAACGCCAAGTATATGGGGGTAGGGGGTATGGGAGAAGTGAAGACCTAGCTCTGCCCTGTCCTCGCCCAGCCAGTGTGGAGCCAAGAAGAATGGCAGCTGCTGGAATGTGGAGGGGGAGGTGTTATTTCAGTGATGATGGCAAGTTCACCAGCCCCCAGCAGGTGCGCCATCTCACTGCCCCCCTTGGTGTCCCTTCAGTGAAGATTCTAAATCAAGACCAAAGGAGCCTTTGTCCTCAGGGCAACACCGATCCTTATAAGCCACCTCATTAACCCGGCGTCCTAGCTGAAGGAACGAGGGTGAGGGAAGAATGGAGACAGAGTTGATATTCGCCTTCTAATTAATTTGCAGGAGGAAAAAATATCTTAAAACTTTCCATCTGCATGTCTGCCTCTGCCTAGTGAAGGAGCAGCACCTCGAAACAATAATAGTGATGATAAAGATGAAAACAACAGCCACTCTGTGTAAGCTTTGGCCCCAAGCAACTCCTTCCCCTGCTGTGACAGCAGAAGGAAAGGACACGGGACCAGATCCCTCGGGAATGTCTGGGAAATCATATCCTGGCTAAAAATTTGGGTCCTAGGACTGCTACATTTCAATCAAAAGCTCTTTTAGCAGAGTGTAGGAGGAGAAGAATGAAAAAGTTATTGGGAGGCGGGGAATGAGTAAAAGGGCAGAAAAATCAGATTTTTACTTTGGGGCCTGTGATCTATGCAAGCTGACAAATAAAGGAATGCAGAGCTGGGAAAGCTCTCACAGACGTAGTCCAATGCCCTCCTGTTTTAGATAAAGAAACGGCACAAAAGTTAAAGGATCTGTTCACAGTCGTGTTCGTGGGAGGATCACGCAAAGGTCAGGAGCTCTTGTTAGAGTTGCAGGCAGTCCTGAAAGGTCTGAAGAATACCAGACACGAGTGAGAACAAAGTCAAGGTGCTGGCTTCACCTGATTTCTAGAAACTGTGATCAACAGCGTTTAGTGACTGTCGAGGAGGATTACAATAAGGATGGAACCCAGGTTCTTCCTAGATTTCTGGCTTGGGAGACTGAGTACATCATGATGTCATTTATTAAGATGGGAGACACGGGAGAGGGAAGAGGTCAAGACTTTGAGACTGTGTTTCCTAGTTGAGAGGGAAGTTCAGTTGCAGTGTCCAAGAAGCAGTTAGGCCTAGAGCTCAGCAGAGAGGCTCAGCTATGAGAGACAGCAGCATGTAAGTGTGGATGTAGGTAGGGGCGGGGGGTGGGGGGGTGAGGTCTTTGACAATGAATTTGTAAGAGGGTGGAGAACAGAGCAATTGAAGAACATTGCTGCTTGAAAGGCCGGGAGAGAAAAAAGAACTGGGAAAACTGAGGAGACGCCAGAGGGGTTGGGGAGGACCCGGCATAGGGGTGTGAGTGCCAAAGGCAGCCCACTCCAGCATCCAGGGACTGTGGAGCCCACGTGTGCATGGCCAGCCTCCAGGACCTTTTGCTTCCTCCTAGTCTGTCTGTTCTTCCCCGGTCAGGGTGGGGCAGGAAAGTCTTCAATACATTTGCCGCATTTTTCCCCCCAGACCTCCCAGGTTTATGAAGTTATGAGGCTCCTGATGCAAAGCCACAGTTCCCGAATGTACCTCAGCATGGCTGCCTCTAGAATCAGGCTCCACTTAGAGATTTCCCTGAATGCTCCACCAACTCCACTTTTGGTAGCCTAGACTGAGGGTCTGGTGTGCAGATGTGCCTCTTCAGGCCAGGAAGATGCTCTGTCAATATCTATGAAACCACAACCAACCACTTGGACCATATCCTGTTTAGTAGACTTAGGTGGAGGTTTGAAGAAAAGATGAGAGGAAAAGGGGAGAAAAGAAAGAGTAGGGAAGAGCAAGGAAGAAGTAGTTAAAACCTATATTTAGATAGAAGTCTATATTTCCAAAGACTCAGTTTCTCTCTGAATTCAGCAAAGCGTCATTAGTAAATAGGTAATAAGCTCCTACTATGTGCCCCCAACTCAGTTAGAAAACTGGAAATATATATTTCCAAGGAAATATTGAACCACCAGGTTTCTCAATCCAAGATAATGTGTAACGTGGATGATGGGAAGAATAGGTCAGGACTTCAAATGAGCCCCACAAATTGATGAACTAGGTGTCAGAGGGCGGAGGAGAAAGAGCAGTGGGATAAGAGACCAGAGATCTGAGTTCTAAATTTGGACCTGCAGCAATGAGGTGTGGGTCTATGGGGTATAGCTATTTAAGAAATGTTTCCTGAGCAAATAGATGGTCAAGGCTCTATGTCAGGTCCCACAACCAACAGTGACACGTAAGACATCATCCCTACTGAGGTGAGTCTCCAGATGACGAAAGAAGAGCACAGAACTATTGGGAATTTAAAAAGGGAGAAACGTTCAGAAGCCCAGGAAAAGAGGAACAGGTTTTAAAAGATGATTATGAGTTTTAGAGTATGTAGTTAATGTAAAATGTTTTATAGAACAGCAATTTCAGGAGCAAATGCACAAAGCAGAGACATGATAGACTTTTTAGGAAACCCTCACAGCATTCATTTCCACTAGAGGCCAAGGGCACGCAGGAGGGGAGGGACAGAGGAGGCTGGAGGTGTGGAATGGAGCTGAGCACATCATGCTCGGTCAGGTTAGGACTGGAGAACCACTGAAGGGCTTTCGTTATTTATGAGATTACAACTGAAGTTCGTCTTATGAAAATCAAGTTATCCTAGGTACCGCTCACCCATGAAGTGGGGGACCCAGATCCGAAAGGCCAACGAGCTGCTTCAGCCCCTTGCCTTCTTCAAGGGAGGACTGGGTCGAGCTAGTATCACAGGTCTCCAGTCTATTCCAATGTTCTACTTCTAAATTTAACTAAATGTAGACGAATGGAGAACAACTAGGTGATTCTCAGGAAATGTGAGAGTCACGTTGGATGAAGGTGCTGAAGAAGATGGAAGGTGCTGAAGTGGAGAATTTGCCACTGATTGTGTGTGTGTTGTTATTTTTTTAGTAATTGAATATTTCTCAAGATTATTCAATTCAGTCTCATTTGATCAGAGACTAACTTACTATTTTTAGTGTTCCTTAGGTGCAGAAGCCATGTCTTACTTGGTTTTTGGTTTTTTTCTTTGTCTGTAGTTGTGAAATATGCCCCATTAATTGGAATATGGGTTAAATTAGGATGTAATTTCAACATAAACAATAGAATAATAGCTTAAAAATATGGAGAGATGGATATCTAGACATATAAAGATCTTTGACAAAGGAGCCAAGAACATACAATGGAGAAAGGAAAGTCTCTTCAGTAAGTAGCGTTGTGAAAACTGGACAGCCACATGCAAAAGAATAAAATTAGACCATTATATTATACCATGAACAAAAACTAACTCAAAATGGACTAAAGACTTGAATGTAAGACCTAAGACCATAAAACTCTTAGAAGAAAATATAGGCAGTATGCTTTTGACATTGATCTTAGAGGTATCTTTTCTTATTCACTTTTGACCTTCCCAGTATTTGGTGGTGAGTGGGAGTATAACACATGTCCCATTCAAGGGTCCTCATGCTAATTCTATCATAAAAAATAAGCACGAAATACCCAAGTGTTTAGTCCAACAGAATTTGAGACCAAACATCCAGCTCCTTCAGGCTCCTCTTGGGAGGCTATTTTCCCCGATTACCCCTCCCTTGTATTGGCTTCTCCATGTTCTGGCTTCTCCAAAGCATTTTAAGAATGAGTAGCCATTCTTAATGCTAACTGTTCACTTTTTCAAAATGAAAAGTTGTACAAAGTATGCAGACAAGCACAAAGGTATGCATTGATCTCAAGAAGTCAGGCTGCCCCAGCGTATTACCCCCATTATTTTCCACTGTGGGTTCCCAGATGGGTTGGATGGGGCTCAGTATTCTTCAGTTTATTCCATGTCCTGCCCAGCCAGCTCCCCGGGAGGTATGGAAAATGAGAGTCCAGCCTGGATCCTCAGATCTGTGGATTGTGGATTTCCCCAGCATCCAATCTTCATCCTTAAAAGGGTCTGCCCTGCCAGGGACCCAACCTCTTGATTTCATCTCAACGACCTTGCTTACCTTGGCAGGAGCTGCCCGCACCAAGCTGGATGCAGTGGCCTGTTAGGGGAGGAGGGGAATTAACTACTTCTCCCTGTCACTTCTTGCCCTCCCCGAAATAGTCGACTGGACTCTCACACTTGCTTTGGGGAAGAATCTTACCCTGAAGCCATCTGGCGAGACAGAGGAAATGTCTTTTTATATCCTGCTTTTCTCAGAGTACTGGGGCAAGATAGATTCATGTTTGTCTCACAAAGAGGAAATGACTGTGGCTTCTGGGGACACCTCGTTGTAAGGCAGTGGTATCAAGGGGCAAAGAGGATGGGAAAGTGGAATGCTACTCTGCCTCCACCCATCCCCAGCTTGGGGACTTGTCTATAGTCCAACATCTAAGGTCTCTCCACACTGGTAAATTGGGGGTAGGACCCGCATATCTCACCTCAGTTTGGTGAGGCCAAAACAAAAGAGGAGTAGTGAAAATTTGAACAGATTGACGTGGAAATCATGATCA